TAGAATATGAATTGCTAGGTTGTTTCACCCACTATAATTTTTGCATGATAGTGTCCGGTGACAGTGGGGGATAAGCGTGGTGGGAAAGTAGTTATGAGAAAAAGAAAGGGAAGGAAGAATGGAAAAAAATGGGAAGTGAAAGAAAAAAGAGAAAGGAAAAAGGAGATGGTAAGAGATAAGAGTGAGAGAAATAGAGGAAGGTCGTAGCTCAAAACATAGCAGACCAGGGAGCAAAAAAGGCAACAACGACAACAGTACGTCTTTGATATAGAAGGGAGGAGACTAAGATCTGCCAGAATGATAATAAAGGATGTAGAGGTAAAACGGGCTATACTAAAGTAATTTGATAGGACTTACACAAAAACAGAGTCAAACATGAAGAAAACAATCAAATGTAACAGCATCACTACGAGACACGAGGGGATCATGTAAAGGAAAACCCATCCTTGGGAGTAACACAAAATACTCGCGGATCAAACTTTAAAACAACACTTCAAATGCACCGTCACGAGTTTGTTATCGAGCTTTTGGTGAGAATTAACACAAGGACAAAAAAACGGACAGAAATAAAATTAAGAAAGGAGGGAAATAAGAGTAGGGGTGGAGAAAAGAAATAGGAAAGATGAATAACGTGCAGCACGAAGAAAAGAGAATATACCCTTTTATACGGCGAATACGGAAAAAGTGAAGAAATATAGGAAAAAAAGGTTAGGTGGGGTGAGAGGAAAGTAAAAACCATCAGGGAGGGACCATATGTCTTTGGGTCATCACAGGTGAAAACTGCAGATGTGTGGGGCTATTTACTATGACATGTGCTATTTTGAATACACAAAGGGGAGCGGACGTTTTCAGGAGGCGTTGGTGTAGTGAATGAAGGGATGATTAAAAAACGGAAAGTGGGGAGGCAGAATGGTGGAGAGGAGTGACGATGTAGTGTAAGTGTGGTTGTAAGGTAAGGGGTCGAAGTAGGTCTATTTTCTAAAAAGGAATAAAATGGATAAGGAGTGACTCCGCGCAGTGTAGGTTGGGTTGCATTTGCATGGTAACGGGGGATAGGTGGTAAGGCAATGACCGGAAACTGCGGCGGTGGCTGGAGGAACAGGCCCTGCCCTACGTGCTGGCGGTGAAGAACAACGAGCCGTTGTGGGCGGACACGGAGGATGGCTCAGCCCAAGTGGCCGCCCGTGAACTGGCCCAGCAATACCCGCTGACCGGTGGCAACGTCTGAGCGCCCGGTGATGGCAGCAAGGGGCCGCGCCTCTACGATTGGGGCTTGGTTGCCAATAGGACCCTGGTCAGCACTGGATCAGGGGCGTTGGCTGCTGGTGCGTCGCAGCATTGCCGATCCTGATGACCTGGCCTACTACGCCTGTTTTAGTACGGGAAGGTATCGCTGCGGAACTGGTGCGCGTGGCGGGGCACCCGTGGATCATCGAAGACGCCTTCAGGAGGCCAAACGAGGTGGGGGCTGGACGAGCATGAGGTGCGCCTGTGGGTCGCTCGTATCGACACATCACCCTGCGCTGCTGGCTCTGCCTTTCTGTCTCGTAATCCGGTCCTACGCCCCGTGGCGATGGTAAAGGGGGATATGTGCGTGGGAGAACTCATTCCCACTGACCTTGCCCGAGGTTCAGACGACGCTATGCCGACTGCTGTGGCTGCCCCGTGCAGTCCTGCCCTGACCATCACTGGTAGGGATGAGACGGCGGCACCAGGCCCGGGCCATGCAATGTCACTACCGGAGACACCTTCAGAAACCTTCATCACAAGCGCGACTGTAGTACTAGATAAACCCAAGTCGGATTTCTGGGCCACGTGGGCTTCCCGTACCGCGCTCGGCGGTGAAAACCGTAAACGCGTGATATGCGCCCGGCTCCAGGCCGCGTATGGTGTGGGTCGTCTGCCTCCGATTGACGATGTCAACGTAACGGAAACTTTCTTGCCAGTCGCCGTTGGCTTTGGCGATCTCGAAGTCCCGCTCCATGTTGACGGAACCGATGAGGTAGTGCGCCGCTCCCGTCGCCGCATCCCAGGCGACGATGACCTCGCCAGCTTTTTCACCTTGTGACACTCGGATGTTGGTGGCAGCAGGCACCTCATCGTGGGCCATGATGGAAGGTGTTCCCATGGCTGCAGTGAAAACCGCCCCGATCGCAATCACGGTAGTCGCTATGATCAAACGCATTATCGTTTTGAGCCGCAGGTCATACTCCAACCGTTCGCAGAACTGCCGCCGGCTGCTCACCGAGGACAACGCCATCAAAAGGCCGGCTTTCAGCGGGCGCTCTGACGGTATCTACGCTCGGCCGTTCCGGGCATACATCCGGATCCTCCCTGTCTGGGAGGTTGCCCCGCCTACTTCCTGGAATGGTCGCGAGCGTCCTTTACCGGCACATCCGGGTATGGCGGCGTCATACCCAGAGCCTGGAAGAGGGTCGCTTTATCGGGCCATACCCAGCCATTTCCATGGACTCTCGCCACGGCCCGGTCCTCCACGATCTGGTACATCCCGACTCGGTTGAGGAGCGCGTCAAACTCCGCCTGACAGTGCGGGGGTAAAAGCGCCAATTCATCCCAGAATATCCCATAGACCAGATTCTTGGCCCTGCCTGGCCTGCTCCCCCCCACTGGCCGGACGCCTACCACACGCCCATCCAGTTGGCGCACAACTTCCAGTGCATCGAGCCTGGGAAAGGCCCCAGACTGCGCGAAGGAGACGCGATTGTGAGGCCATGTCCCTCCACAACTAGACGCGCCTGTCGTGACGAGGGGGCCGGAAGGAGGATAGTATAGGAACATCGATAATGCTTGACAGATCAGCCACGGAAACGATCCCGGCGGCCTGTGGTGTCGGTTCAGGAACCGCCCGTCGAGGAAGGCTTACCGCGGCTATAGGGTGTGGGGTCCGGGAAGGCAGGCTACTGAGGAGGTGCTGATAGTTGGTGAGTTAGCGGACGAGGGAAGTACCGCGAAAAGGCGAGGGGACGTAGGAGCAGGGGGGTTGAGTTCCGTAAGAGTCAGCCTAAAAGACTCCCTATCGGGTTCGTCTGACACGAGCCTCTTGCCGTCCGCCACGGGCTTTTCCGCTACCTTCGGCGACTCCTACGCGTCCATATTGATGGGAAGAGAAGCTGATTTGAAGAAAATCACGATAGTAACTATTCAAGTGGTGCGGGAGGTGACTTTAATAAAACATATCGATAGTTTCCAAAGAAAAGCCTTTGTGACTCTGGTCCAGTACTCAATTCTTTTTTAAGCCCCTTTACCAGGCAGGGATCAATGGCAAGGCATGGAGACTAATTTGGAACTGGTATATATGTCCATCCCAAGTGTATGGTCAGAATCAATGGTTGCCTGTCATCAACGTTCACAATGAACGCGCGTTTCTCAGGTCCAGTTGCTGTCTCCAGTCCTTTTCCACCTCCTGGCTAAAGCTCTGGGACATGGCATTGGATCATGGTCATCAGGGGACTGTCTCTCTGCAGGCACTGTTTTGGGAACTAACTAGGCCAGCTTTTGGTTCCAAACCTTGCCATCGCTGTGACATTGATCATCTTCATGAACCTTACTTCAACCACTTCATCTCCTCCCATTCTACCATTGGGGTCAGCCCTACCCACCATTGTTCGTCAACTGGCTGATGGAGACCGGGATGTATTCATGTTTGCTAAACAGTTTCTGTGCACAATCTAACCTTATGTAATATTCATTACACATTCTCATTATTTTTGTGCCTCTTTGGCTTCCTTTATTGAACATGACAACTAGCGCATGCGCTATTCTGAGCTGTGGGATGACCCCTGTATCACAGGAAGTCCTTATCAAAACATCTAGCGGTAGGCTTAGTGAAATTTTTGTGGCTTCCAAAGTTTACACAACGATCTGTAGCCTCATCTTTGTTCTACTGTCTGTTCTTTATCTCTATCTTAGTCTAGTGCGGCAAGATGCCGCAGCAGAAATTCAGCATTGTGATTGGCTAAAATCAGAAAGCGCGGTTGGTAATGCGCATGCGCACCTGTTTTGCGTATCAGCGCTCGCTCCGTGTTTGTTAGTAGACTTCCCGTTTTTGAGTTGTCAATATCAGATATCTACATCTGTCCTGCCAGTGGCTGCCAGCACGTATAGTTGTATGACTACCTGGCGGTACAACTGCAAAAGTGAAGTGTAAGAAGTGCATGGGGCAAATAATTCCAAGCAAAATCGAGCAAAATAATTATGAATTAGCTAGTAGGTAGTTCCAACCATCACTAACCCTCAAAAGAATTCATGTGGAGATATTGGGTGCTTCTCTACATATCTCACTCCCTACCCTCAACAAAATTATGGTATTCAAAAGTGACTACACAGTTTCATAAATAAACAGCAGCATACATTACCAGACATCTACTACAACTGCACACTGTGGCTGAGGTTCTTAGTCATCACTACTTGCAGAAGGTGGGTAAGTGTCCTTGATATACGGTATTCTGCCCAAGACAACCTTCCAGGCCGTGGCCCACACCAGTGCAACCCCTGCAACTCCTAGCCACACCGCTCCAGACGGAGCCCTGTGGCAGATAAACAGAAGAGTGGGCGTTAAATAGAAACACCTCCGTCGATAAACACCACAGCACAGGCGGTAGTGTTCCCCTAACCATGCCGCGACTCTCTCCGTTGTTACGCCCATCCAAACCCGTCTGGTAGGTTGTAGAGTCGACAACGCTCTTCTCAGAATCATTCTTCCTGTCATCAGTGTACTAACCTCTGACCTACGCGCTGTACGCATGCGCATGCGCATGCACACTAGCTGGCTAGCTGAGCCAGAAGGCGCGCGGTTGATGTTCTCCACGGAAGAAGATGCAGGGCGTATATCTCCGCCTCAGAAGAGAGCCAGAACACTGGACATTGCCGATGTTGCGTGTCTGGTGACTAGACGGCAGAGAGCCGCTTTTCCATCTCCCGAGAAACCATCGCGATCTTCTGTATTCAGCCTGTCCTCGGATACCGCGGCTCCTCTGTCGACTACTACAGTGAAGGAAACCCAGGACGAGTTCTCTCAGGAGCTGATAGAGGAAGATACGGTCATTCAGTCTTCTCTACCGCATTACCTGAGTCACGTGTACGGTGGCGGACGTCATAGTGATCCTGATGACAGTGGGGCATCGTCCTCGACCAGCTGTTGCTCAGTTAGCACTGCTTCTTGTAGTAGCAAGCTTTCACCCCCTGCTATAGTAGAGTCTCAGGGGTTCACCGTGACAGAAATTTCAGATCAACCCAACGGCACCAATATTGAAAGTGATGCTCCGTGTGCAGCCATGGCTGGGAGCTCTAACAATACCCAATCATCTCCCCTACTGTTTGACTCCCCCACATCTCTTCCTAGATCCTCTCCTACACATGCAAAGCCTAACATTTCTACAGCTGCTGACCAGCAGCCTTCAGTTTCACATCCTCAGACTGTAGCAGCTAAACCTTGCACCCTGTCTACAACCAAGTCAGAACTGAAGGAGAATGTGGCTGATAGTGGTGACTGGGTAAAGAAGAGGCCCAGTCGGAAGAGAAAGTTTTCAGCCGGTACAAAGGCAGAGAAGTTGAACTACACTTGTCCACCTTCATGCGTCAATCTTGCTGAATGCGCAGCAATGAAACCAGAGTCACTTGTTCATCTTTTTGCCCTTGTGCTGCAAGGTGTATAGCTCTATCGACTTAGTAAATGTAATGCACACTACATCTTTATTCAGTTAATTCTGTGATGGAAGTAGCATGCAAGAAAGGTCAACTTGTGAGTTGTGACTAATGATTTAGACGTCCATAGCGAGTTTTTCTGAATTGCCGCAACAAACAGCTGAAGTTTTTAGTCCACGCATTCTAGCTGTCTGCTCTGCCATTTACTCCTCCCCCACCCCACCTCAGGCAGGGTCCACGGTGCCTGTGGCCTCACTCCTGCTGGCTGACCCCACCCGCTCCTGTCTGAAGCTCCTCCTCTGGAGAGAGGCTGCCTCTTGGGTCGAGAGAATCACAGCTGGCGACATCGTCTTCCTCAAGTGTGAGAATGAAGGCACCAATTTGCCGTGTATACATACTTCACAATAACAGTAAACTCAGTTGTAACTTTGAGATTCTGTGGCAAACAAAAAACCTTTCACGGGTTGCTTGTACTGCCATAAACCTGCAAACCTGAGAACTGTCTTTCCAATGTGCTCTGAACTTAAGAAATCTGCCACTATACCACTTTACACTCTGTTCAAGATGTTTTCCCCCCGTAATATTGGTGAATGTTCTCCAGCTCTTCGTCTGAAGAGATGGCAAGGAGAGACAGTAGCCCACACTATCATGTATTCCAGAGTCCTGAACCTCCATCAACCAAAGAAGAGCCTGCCTCAGAAGTGTACGTGCATGTCTAGTCTCTGTTGTTGTTGTTTTCCGCACAATAAGTGCAAGTCTTGCATTACTATGAGGGGCCATTTAATTTTGATGATGTAATCCCACTTTCATTTGGGTTATCAGTGTTTCGGGGGAGGGGTGGTAAAATACACTGGGGAGGAGGACTAAACATCCAGTCTTGATTGAACATTAGCTGGGTATTGGTTAAGAGTCTGCGGCAACAACCTATCAAAATCGAGGGATCGAAAAGTAGGATTTTCTTAAAAGTATTCACCACCGTTCTATTGGGTACACAAAATTGAGTATGAAGTCTACTCTTTTGGTTGCAGTTGTGACGGTGGTTCCTGCTGGGAGTCTGGAGAGTCTGGTTGAATGGGGCAAGAGCCGCCACGGCTATCTGTTCAGAGACACCCATCCCCTCCCCTCATCACAGAGTGAGCTTATAGCTGGGCCCCCACAGAGTGGTTTCAATTAGTGGTGTTTATTGCAGGGCCAGTCCACTTCAGGAGCTCTGACCAGCTGGGGGTGGAGTCAGTGGTTCACTTCAGAGCTAAACTGACCAGTGTCATCAGTGAGAGAGGTCTGTTCCACACACCTAAACCTCTTTAGATATTGTGAGCAGTTTTGTAGACGAATTTTCCTACACTCTATTCATAATGTACAGTACAGGTGGTGTGGCGGTACAAATAGCACTAGCAATAGGGCCCAGTGCAAGAATGCCAAACTTAGCCTTTATAATACGGCCACATTGCCTTTAAATCCTACATTTGTCCGTTTTTGTTTCGTCATCTCATTATTACATCGAAACAGAATCGCTGCCCTTTCACTTTCTTTCCTAGTGTTCCTGTTTTCTGACAGACCAGGAAAAGATGTCTGCCTTTACTTGTAAGCAAATTAACACCACTCCAAAATCAACGGTGGCGGCCTCAATCAATCCACGTGTGTGTAGGTTGTCATCATCCAGGCAAGGTGGAGGGTGGTACAGAGAACTGAGGAGTGGGGTAGGGGAGGTCTGGGAACTCCACTATCTCTCTGTGTCGCTGGAGGACACTCAGGGTGGGTTTTAAACCCTGTATCACATCATAAGATCCCTATAATCACTTTGAGAGCAATGAAACCAGAGCTGCCTGTATATATACATCCCATCCCACCCAGGAAAAATCTGGTTGTGTTGTTTGCATGGACTTTTTGCCTTGCAACCCTTTTCTTTGCAAATAGCTAATGCTGTAGTGTTGCTTTATCTTCTTTCTGTGCAGGTAGTTTCTCCCTGCAAGTAACCTCAAGATCAAAGCTGAGAAAACTTCCCTCTGATTCCAATGATGCTCAAGCCATTATGAAGGTTTTTGTGACTGTTACATAGTCTGAAAAAGAAGTCTTTGTCAATATTTTTTCCAGCTCTTTCCGTCATCTTCACAGAACAGTTCCATTTCAACGGTGGACTCACTCTCAACTCTACTAGAATACAAATCTTCGGGTCAGCTAGCTACATCATCATGTAAATGATAATATTATTACGTGGCATACTTATGCAGGTATAAAGAAATGTAGAGCTAAAGCTACACAATTTAAGTAAGGTGCTGTAGTTAAAAATGTGTGTGACTCAACTGTCTTATGATGCTGTATTAATGACCTCTCATAAGGGAAACTCTAATTAAAGAACACTTGTTCTGATAGTGAATGTTTACTTAATAAAGGATACCCCTTATATGGTCCCAGTGTTTAGTTTACTGGAGGTTCTACCGTTAGTTTCCAGTTGTCTGGTGGTGAGGTGTTGTGTCTGGAGCAGCTAGCTGAGCTGAGTGGACCGGAGCTGGTGTCAAGATTGCTGGGAGCTGTCTATGTCGGATGCCAGGCCTGCACAAAGCCTCTCCGAATAGTGAGAGAAATAACTGAAGGAAGGGCTGTAAGTTGCATGGTTGATCCCAAGGTATACATGTTTCCAATCATGTTGTTCCTTAAAGGGAATGTGGCAGTAAATATTACTTAAGATGGCATACACATAGAGCCCAGTGCAAGAATCCAATTACGTTTCTGTTTATAGTAAAAATTTCTAAATTTAGCCCGTATATACTGCCACATTCCCTTTTTAACTGTATTCCCTTTATGGCTGTCCTTTTTTTTCAGGATGAAAATTGTGTCTACTGTCCCTGTGAAGACTGCAAGAAAAAGTCTCCCGGAGGTGTGTGTCTCTAAAACTTTCTGGTATTACTGTGATTCCGCTCTCATCTCCACAGGCGCATTTACCTCATCTTACTGCTACAGGTATATGCATTAATATGCAGTGCAATTTTTGAGGGTCAGTTCCTTAGAGTATGATATTAAGTAATTCTTGCTCTTCTGATATGACAGCATGTAGTTGGTTTGAGCGTCTTTCTCTCCACTTGCTAGTGAAAAGTACGAAAGGTTTAGTTAACTCCTGATGATTGCACTGCACACTACAGCTATTGAGGACGGTTAGTTTGGGTGTCTTTTTCTCCACTTGCTACCAAAAGTACGAAAGGTTTAACTCATTCCTGCTGATTGCACTGCATACTACAGCTATAGTCGAGGTATTGAGGACGGTTGGTTTGGATGTCTTTCTCTCCACTTGCTAGCGAAAAGT